TAGTAATAGGGAAAATGTCACTTAGTAGCTTACCACAGATATTATTTCCTACCATTTATCAAATTTACTTTTTATTGGAGAACTATTTTTTTGATTTTTGCATTAAGTGGTCTAGAGCAATTTTGAATGCATTTTCAACAGAGCTTTGTAGCCTTAGGGGTAGGAGAAAAACTGACTGCAAATCATGTCAGTGTACTACAAGATTCTGAAAACACACAAGGGCTGGTTAGTAAGGATTTACTTCCTCTGTAAAAAAAAAAAAAACAACTTGATTTTTAACCTTTGTTGACAATGGGTTTGTCTACGTGTTTCAATTATCCTTGCTGTGAGTTTGGATCTATAATTGCAGAAAATGTACACTATTAAAATACTATGCCTTGGTATAGAGATTATAAATGAGAAAACGGAATGTTTGCATCCCTTAAAAAAATGGAAATCAAATTGAAAGTACATTGTTGTTTCAGGAGACTTTATATTTAGAATATTCATGTAAAACTTGTGAGCAAGCTTTCACTTTGATCAAACTGATCATCTTCATTTTTGTAATAAAACTGAAGAATTATCCAGTAATTGATTATGAATCTATTTTTGGGGGGAAATCACCTAATAGTAACTTTAGATTTACCATTATTAGTGGTTCACTGGTTCTAACGTGCACTTTTCCTAAATTCAGGCTATTAATGCCAAAATCTTAAACCTTTAAAATTTTTATTTTCTCTCAAGCTGTATGCTTTTGTCTTCTCATTATATAGAAATATTTTAAAGATCTTAAGATGCACACCCATGGCAAATCCTTAATTCAGACAATATTATTACGAGTTACTCTCTGGTCTGAACAATAATATATTAACACCAAACGAATCAGTCAGATCAAGACAGTGGATAAATCTGTACTGAGCTTTTTAGTTTACAACACGAGGTAAAAGGAAAAGCAATTCTCTTTAACCAATACTTTACACAGATGCAGGAAAATATTTTAGACTTAAAGAATTTATAATAAGGGATACATTTCTCAAAAGATGGAGATCAAGTAAACAAGGTTTTAACTTAATTCCTTGAATTTACCAGTTGACTCCCCCATTAAACACAATAGTAACCAGCTCTAGTTACGTAAATTTCTTCAAGGCCAAGTTCTATCATTGTTGCTGTTGTCTTTAGACCTGAAGCCTTGCTACTTCAATCAATATCCACCAACTCCACTTCAAAAATAAGTTTTGCATTTGGTGTAATTTTGGCATCAGGCTGTCCTTTCTTTCCATGAGCCCATTCTGGTTCAATCTCTAGTCGAAGCCTTTTCTCCCTTACTCATAGTCAGGAGTGCTTCATCCCATCCTCTGATTACTTTGCCAACTCCAACCTTAAAATGTAAAGGCTTGGCATTTTTCTTCTTCTTTGAACTTGTTTGGATATTAGTATCAAAAACAGTCCCATCCTGTAGTGTTCCCGTATACCAACAGTGACCAACATCTCCCTTTTTGCGAAAGTTGGTTTTATCTCCCTTTTTAAGAACAGATTTTGTGTATTTTGGTGGACCCTCTTCCAGAGTCTCTTCAGACTTGGTTTCTTTGGGCTTGTCATCATTAACCTTCACATTTTTCACCTGCTCCAACACCTTATTTATACTTTCGGTACCTTTGAAACGCTTAGTTTCAAAAAGACGGTTCTAGGCTGTAACCAAATGGTCCTTGTTAGCTGTCTTGGCCACATTTTTAATGTTTCCTAATAGCTTATGTTCTGCAAGAAACGAATCTGAACCATGACTCTGCAGAAACTTGATAATGTCTTTCTTGGGCAGTTGCTCGCTGCGCAGTTGCTCCACAGTCCACGCCCGCTGTAGAACGTTCGCCGCCATCTTCCCCCGCTGCCTCTGCCTCTACCTCATTCGTTTTAATGGTTGCACGTTATTCCTCAGTTTGGTTGTATTTTAGTTTATTTCACTGTTTCTTCTATTGGTCGTCATTGAGGTGGCTCTAGTTTTGCTATTAAAAGAGTGGTCTGATAAGCATCTTTGCACACGTGTTTGAATTTTCCTGTGAGATGGATTTCAAGGGTGAAGTTTCTTTAAAACTGTCCTCGAAAGAGGTTGTACCCATTTCTATTCCCACCCACAATGAATGTGATGTTAATTACAGAATATTCTCAGTCACTTAAATTGTTTACTAACTGGCAGGTGGAAAATATTACCAGTTTAAATTTATATTTCTATAATTGCTCTTAAGGCTGAGCATTTTTAATTGGCGCATGATCATTGATTTTTTTATGTGAACCTATGTCATTTTCCTATTATTTGTTTTTTTCTTGGTTGATTATATTTTTTATTGGTTTGTAAGAACTTTGTATTAGGGATAGTAATCTGCCTCTGTATGTTATAGTATATTTCTCTCAAGCTGATGCTTGTCTTTCACTTTGTCTTGTGTGCTATGTTTCATAATAGAGAAGTTGTAAATCTTTACGATGCAAAATCTGACAATCTTCAATTTTGTGGGCTGTGACTTTTGGGTAATTCTTACAAAGACCATTTTTAATCATCACACCATGTTCTTTTAGCACTTTATGTCATTGGCTTTTATGCTTAGTTTGACATCTAACTTCATTATTTTGTATGTTGTAAGGTCGTGGTTTTCAATTAATTTTATCCCAAATCATTAGCCAGTTGTCTCCACATCATCTATGGAATGGCCTATTTTTCTCCATTGATTTGAAATTTCATTTGCATTATATGTTAAATTCTTATATGTACTTTAACATGGCAACACTTATGTCATCCTTGACTTCCAGTTTAAATCTTTTTTTTCTTTCATTTTGATGGCTGAAAACTTGGACTTATGAAGTTATTTAGCTGTAAACTGTCAGAGCTCCCATAGCTTGCTTCAGAGGATAAGGATAGGTTTGCATTAGAAAATATCAGAATTTACTTAGTCCCTTTGAGCAACGTGCTCCAGGAAGGAAGAAAGAATGGATAATAGTAAAAGACATGTGTCTGATTTGTCCCTTTCATCGGGAAAATAATAACTTTTTGGGAAGTGCTACCCAGTAGACTTCTGCATACTTCTCACAGGCCAGAACTAGTACCCATTGCCTCACCCCTAGATGCCAGGGAGTCTGGGGAGGTGAGAATTTCTAATTAGAGCAGATTGATGCCTCAAAGAAAATTGGAACCCTATTAGTAAGGAGGAGCCCTGGTGGCCCAGTGGTTAAAAGCTTGGCTTTTAACGTCAGCAGTTCAAATCCACCAGCTCCTCCTTGGAAACTCTATGGGGCAGTTCTACTCTGTCATATGGGGCTGCTATGAGCAGGAATTGACTCCATGGCAATGGGTTTGTTTTTTGTTTTGTTTTGTTTTTTTTTTTTTTTTGGTTATTAGTAAGGAAGATGGGGTGAGTGGATTATCAGTAGGATGATACAGAGCATTTAACATACCCTTCATCTTTTATTTCCTTTTCAGAATTTTCCCAGCTATTCTTAACTAGAAAGAGCTCAAGTGAGAATTTATATACAATAAAATGCTCAATTCTTAAGTGTTCAGATTGATGCATTTTGTACAAAGCTGTGTGCCATCACCCAAAACAAGATATAAAATATTTCTGAAACCCCAGAAAGTTCCCTGGTATCCCTTTCTAGTCAACCTCCTCCCCCACAGCAACCATTTCCTGATTTCTGTCACCATTAGATTTGCCCATTCTTGAACGTCATATAAATGGAATCATGCAGTATGTATTCTTTTGTGCCTGTCTTCTTTCACTCAACATGTATTTTGAGATTCATCCATGTTGTGCATGTACAGTAGTAGTTCATTTATATATTGTATGAATATACCAAGATTTGTTCATCCTTTCACCTGTTGGTTGACATTTGGATTGTGTTCAGTTTTTGGCCATTGTGAATAAGACTGCTATGAACAGTCTCATATAAAAGGGTCCTACGTTGCTTCCCAACCAAGGTTGAGCAACCAAGGAGGGCCCTCAGCCTGCCTCCCAGTTGCCCTAGGAAGATCTGCTTCATGTCTGTTGATGAAACACAGCCACCTGTTGAGCACCAAGTGCCTGATAATCTACTAGGACCTTTCCTTAATTTCGCTTATGGACAGATAGATTGATATTTAATAATACCATGGCTACCTCTCAAAATCATGTGGAAAGAAGCCAGACACAAAGAAATGCATGCGGTGTGATACCAGGTATATGGTGTCCAGAATGGACAAAACTCATCAAGGGGGACAGATGTTACAACAGGGGCTGCTGGGGCAGGAGGTGACAGGTTGATGGTGAAAGGGATCATGGGTATTCTTCGAATGATAGAAATGTTCAATATCTTCACTGGGGTAGTCCTCATGTGCATTTGTCAATACCCACTCTCTTGGACTTTTGAGGTATGTGCATTTCACTGTGTAAATTTTATCTCAATGAAGAAAAAAATTGTTATGTGAACATCACACATATATGTATTGAGGAACATACAGTAGGATCAAAAACCTCTCCGACTCATAGCAACTCCATAGTACAGAGAAGAACTGCCCCACAGGGTTTCCAAGGCTGTAATCTTCACGGAAGCAGACTGCCACATCTTTCTCCCTCGGAGCAACTGGTAGGTTTGAACCTCCAACCTTTTGGTTAGCAACTGAACGCTTAACCACTGCGCCACCAGGGCTTCTTCTACGGTATGATACCAGTTAGTACAAAAGTAAAAGTTAATGTATATCTTCTCTTAGAAGGCACCCATTCGCAGTTCTTTTCCCCCAGGCGCATGCACATACCCTCGAGCTCCATCCCTAGGGCGCACACCCAAGCGTGCGTACACATGGCTGCACACAGATTCATACACAGTGGGACACGTCCTCGAGCCCACCCCAAGTCAGCCACCAAGTGGCCGTTGTCTAGGAACTACTAGTGTTGGGATTCAGAATAGCCTCGGAAAGCAGTGGTTGAAGGACACCTGGCGGGAACGTCCAACGACGTGGACGCTTTTCTCAAGCGCACCAGGTAGATCTCTCACCTGCGGTAATGTCTTCCTGGATTAGAGGCCTTGGCTCAGGCGTGGGCCATTCCCTGGGGCAAGTGGGCAGCAGCGTGGCTTCCCTCACTGGCCACCTTTCCAACTTGACAAAGGAAAAGCCGATGAAGGGCAAGGTGAGAGTGGAAGCATTCCCTAACTCTTGCAGAAAGGAAGTGGCAGCCGTTTGGCCAAACTCAAGATCAGAGACAAGAGACTTCAGAACGTCTATAATAAACTACAAAAGAAGTATGAAGCCTCAGAACTTCAACTAAAGCAGCAATCTAAGAGTTGCCGACTTCAACTCCAACAGAAGGAGGTAGAGATCAGACTACTGAAAGCAAGACAGACTGTGCTACAGGATCAGGTGCTGCAGCTGCAGTCAGCTGCTCCGTCAGTCCACTCTGGAGCTGGAGGGGGACCGGCAGCCACTGCACCACCTTCATTCCTGTATGGTACCAGTCATCATGCTGCAGCTTTTCATGACGATGACATGGACTGTGGTGACATCATTTGGTCACAACAAGAAATAAACAGATTATCCAATGAAGTTTCAAGACTTGAGTCTCAAGTTGGTCGTTGTAGGCATATTGCTCAGACTTCTACAGCACCAGGAACCAAGAGCTACAATTCAAGTGAAGCCTACAACCTCCAAAACACCATCAAGGAGCTGGAGCAGAAGCTAAGTCAGGCAATTGATAACCATCAAAGTAAAATAGCAGTGTTGCAGGATGTCCATAAACAGAAATTGAGAGAAATAACTTATCGGCATCAACAAGAATTAAGTGACTGTGAAGAACACATTCAAGAACTTGAACACCTCATAGAGCAAGGTGCCTCAGGGGTCCCTGATCACTCTAAAGTGGAAGAGATGGAAAACACTATACAGGTTCTCCAAAGTGAAAAAGTCGAGTCTGCCAAAAAAATTGAAGAACTGGAGTCTATAGTGAAAGACATCAATTATCTTGTGCAGACAGGCAGAAACAAGAAGCTATACAGGACATTCTTTCGATGAAAGATCAGCTATCGGCACAACAAAAGGAAGGAGACAGCATCATCACTAAACTCAAGCAAGATCTAGAGGAAGAACAAAAGAGAGTTTGTCAACTTGAACACGACAAAAAGAACATGATGGAGGAGTTGCAGGTACAGAAAGAGATATTTATTCAAAGTGTACTGCACCTCGATCATTTCCAATTAACCCAGAAGAGGCTTGAGGAGAAAGTTCAAGATTTAATAAATCTGTTAAATAAGTCAGAAAAAAAAATAACTCAGACATCCAGAGGGAGAACTTTGCCCTGAAGGAAAGGATTAGACAAACTGAGGCGGCGCTTTCTTCAGTCAGGAATGAGGCCAGTCAGCCTCTTCATCAAGACTCTGAGAGTAATTTTAAGGACGACTCACTGAAAGAAAGCAAAGCTGAAGGAAAATTGGACAAAGTCCTAATGAAAAACCTCTTCACTGGGCATTTTCACACCCCCAAAAATCAGCACCAAGAAGTCTTAAGATTAATGGGAAGCCTCCTGGGTATCAAACGAGAGGAGATGGATCAGTTTTTGAAGGAAGACGAGGGCAGTGTGACCAGTTGGATGAGTGACTGGCTGGCTTGAAGGATGATCAAGAAGTGGCTCCAAAACAACCCTGAGACTAAACTATCAAGTAAGAATTCTTTTTCATAATTTTTTCTTAAATTTCTAGAAACAACATCTCTATCATAAATTCAACCACCAAAGATTTCTGCCTGTGATGTATAAAGTCTAAGGTCACCTGTAAGGATCAAAACAAACAAAAACAAAACCCATTGCCGTTGAGTTGATTCAGACTCATAGTGACCCTAAAACTAAGTAAAATTCCCATCACTATTTAGGTCTTCTATAATAAGTATGGAGCCCTGTTGGTGCAGTGGTTAAAGAGATTGACTGCTAACCCAAATGTCAGTGTTTTGAAACCACCAGCGGTGCCACGGGAGAAAGATGTGGCAGCCTGCTTCTGTAAAGATTTACAGCCTTGGAGACCCCATGGGGTCGCTATGAGTGGGAATCGACTCAATGGCAGCAAGTTTTATAATAAGTATGAATCCTTGAAGGCCCATTTTAATTTACTTTGGGCCATATTAACTATTTTAACTGGTGCATTCATGGGTTCACATTTTTCAAGCCGATTTGTAACTGTCAAAGACTTAATTTTAATTTTACTTGATTATTCATGGGATGTTTTAGGAAAATGGGTGCTTTAACCATGGGAACTTTAAGCAAGACAGGGGTTCTGGTGGTTAATGTAATGATACCAATTTGTCTTGTCTTTTGTACTCAGTAACTCCTCTATGATTATAGTGGGTAATATGTTTACATGTGGGAGTGCTCAGCTGCTGAAAAAAAAGGTCAGTGGTGCCAACCCACCAGTGTTTTCAGCAGAAAAATGTGACAATCTGCTTCCTTAAAGATTAAAGCCTTGGAAACCCTCTGGGACAGTCTTACTCTGTCCTATAAGGTCGCTATGAGTTGGAATCTACACAGTGGACATGGTTTTAGACAGGTTATGTTTAAATATAGTGAGACCTCCTGGTAGAACTGTAATTTCTGGGCAAGTACTGATTAAGACCAAGAAGGTTTGGCAACACTGAGCAGATGTTAAAGTTAATTCAGAATGTATGTTGTAGAGGCACAAAAGTCAGTCAGCACTTTCTTATTTTTTTACGATATGAATAGTAATTTTTTTTCCAATTGGCTTTAAACGTGAATCTTTGTTTCAATCCATTGTTTGTTTATTTCCTCCCTCTTTTTCCAGGTTCATTTCTTTTTTTCATTCCTCTTTATGTTTGTTTGTTTCTCACTTTGTATACTACGTGGGGCAGGAGAGTGTGTTTATCCTACTTATATTCACCAGTTTTTTTTTTTCTCCAGAGAGCATCAAATCAATATGATCGGGGTTAGGAGCCTCCCTTTAGCAATGACTGAATGGCTTAAGGATCCTGGACTTAAGTCAGTTCGAACAGCCACTTTATTGTGCTACAGAGGTGCCATGGGTATTTTTCCCTGTAAGGTTGATATTCTAGGGTTTTAAACTTTATAAATTTAAGAATCAGCACGTCAAGTTCCATGAACATCCTTACTTAGATTTTGATTAGTATGGCTTTGAATCTGGAGATCAATTTTCGGTTATCCCCACTGAGTTAATACTTGTAACTCACCTAGAAAATTACACGGACCATAGCAAGTGTCCAAACAGCGTCAGCTATTGTAGCTGTCTTTACAATATTGAGTCTTCCTATCCAAGAACTTGGTATGTTTCTTTAATCCTCTACGCTTTCTTTTTTTGTCTTCCAATAACAAAGCAGAAAACATTTCTTTTGCCCATTTTTAAACTAGGTTGCTTATTTTCTTATTGTTGATTTTTAAGAGTTTTTTCTATTTTCGATTAAAGTCCTCTATCAGATATGTGTTGTAAATATTTTCTTCTGTCCTGTGGCTTGTATTTCATTTTTTTTGACAGCGTCTTTCGTAGGGTAGTAGTTTTTAATTTCAATGAAATCCAGCTTGTCAGTGTTATATTAATGGATTGTGCTTTTGGTGTTTTATCTAAAAAGTTATTGCCAAACCCAAGGGCACAGTTATTTTCTTTTATGTGATCTTCTAGAATTTGTATAGTTTTATATTTAATGTATAGATGTGTGATCTGTTTTGAATTAATATTATGTAATGCTCCTACTTATCCCTGATAATTTTCCTTGCTCTGAAATCTACTTGGTCTGACATTAATATAGCTACTCCAGCGTTCTTGATTAGTGTTTGCATGGTATGTATTCTCCATGCTTTACTTTTAATCTCTCTGTGTCTTATATTTAAAGTGTGCATCTTGTAGGCAACATAGAGGTGGGGATTTTCTTAAATCAACTTTTATAAAGACTCTATCTTTTAATTGGTGTATTTAGAATATTCACATTTAAAGTGATTTTTGATAGTTGTGTTGGTATCTACCCTTTTGTTCCCAACTGGTCTTTTCCCATTGCCTTTGTTCTTGGTTTCTCCTCTCCCATCTTTTTCTCTTCTTTTAATTGATATTTTTTTGATAATTCAGTTTTCTCCTTATTTGTAGCATATTAGCTGTACTCCTTTTTACAAAAATGTTGTGAGGAATTTCTCTGAAGAAAATGTGGAGAGAAAGGTTGTAATCATTAAAATGGTGACCAGAAGTGTGAAAGGAGAATCGGGGAGGGGGGCCAAGATGTTTGCAAAACGTGACACAATTCAGCTCGAGCCAGCAAAGCCAGGTGGAAGGCAATTGAGAATCCAGGTGAAAAAAAAAGAAGAATATGAACTAAGTTAATAGGACAGATGGCCACAGAAAGGCAGAGACCAAGTCAAAAGGTTCTAAGAAGACAGAATTGCCAAATCATGGCAATTGCCTGGTATTGGACTAGAGAACAGGAAGGAGAAAGGAGAGGAGTAACGGATGACTGAATGAGCAAGGTGGCATTCAGTGCACTAGGACAGGGATCTGCAAACTCTTTCTATGAAGGCCAGACAGTACGTATTTTAGGCTTCTTGAGCCATAAGGTCTCTGCTGTCACTGCTCAACTGTGCCACTCTGTGTCGTAGACTCTATGCATTACATACACAATATGCAAACAAACATGTGCCTCTATTACAATAGAACTTTTCTATAACACAGGCGGTGTACGCATTTGGCCTGCAGATTAAAGTTTACCAATTCCTACACTAGGGAATACAGGGGAGGTCAATTTGAGGATGAAGTCCATGAAGTTAGCAGGACCCTTAAGTGGAGATGTTCAAGACAAAGATGGCAAAATCAATCTAGGGATGAAGAGATGCTAGGGCTATAGGTATAAAAGTGGGATTCATCAGTCATGAAGTGGTAGGTATGGGGCGGAGATCAGTCAGAGGAATGGTCAGAAAAAAGAGCAAACAAGAACCTTTCCCGTTTGGAATACAAAGGTGGATGCACAGTGTTACGTTAGATGACTATGATCCAGGGAAAGTAGGAATGTTAAAATCTAACCAGCCTTAATTCATACTTTTTTATATTAGATTTCATTTAAAATAACCTTAAAGTTTTAAGTTCATAGGTGAGGAGTAAATTTACCTTCTGGCTATAAAATGGGCATATTTAAAATAAATAACTTATATGTAAGGTATTACGGGGCCCTGGTGGCACAGTGGTTAAGCGTTTGGCTGCTAACCAAAAAGGTCAGCAGCGTGAAACTACCAGCTGCTCCTTGGAAACCCTCTGGGGCAGTTCTACTCTGTCCTATAGGGTCACTATGAGTCAGAATCGACTCAACAGCAATGTATTTGGTTGGGTTTTTGAAGGTATAATGAATAACAAAAAAACAGATGTACACACTTATCTCAAGAAGTGGTTCATTACCAGTAACCCTATCAGCTTTTTCTAACATAAAAATTAGTTTCTGACTAGAGGTCTAAATAGGGAAGGTTCAGGCGAGATAAAGCTTGCAGATGTGTTTTCTTAGGCTAACGAAGTATTCTTGTTTTCTTTTTAGTTGTCAACATTTAAATATCAAGAGATTTCACATGGAAATCAGCATTCAGGAGTATTATTAAAAATCAAAAGATGTGGCTACATTGTACCTACATTCACCTTGTCAACCAGTGGATGGGATTAAAAAAGCAACTACCTCTTTAAATGGATATGTTTTCACTAGTTCGCTATAGTCCCCGCCGCTCCCTATTGTCTCCCATCTTTCCCGCATTTAACTCACTTATTTTACCTGTACTTGCACGTGAATTTGTGACCGCTATATACACAGTATAACAGTGGTTTCCCACTTTGGGAGTCTAGTCAACATGATTTAAAGTAAATAATTTCACAGACTCCATAAGAATAATTACTGAAAGTTGGACAGCTCAACAATCCCTTCTCCACTCTTCTGAAATGCAAAAAACTCTGAAACTCAAATGATTTTCTACATTTCATTTGACAAGAAAACCTTATCTGAATTGACATGAAGCTATTTATAATCACTATATATATTCCATTTAGTGTATCTGAATACACTTTGCTATAGAAACAATACCATGTTTGATTATGGGGTGCTGACGCAGGCCCCACTGCAGCTATTACATAAAACAAACAAAAAACAGCACACATGCATTACCATTTTTCTTAAAAAAAAAAAAATCTGACTTCTGAAATTCATCTAGCCCAAGAGTTTCAGATAAGGGACTGTGAACCTCGCGTGCTTTCAGTTTCCATGCTTAAGACGATAGCACACAGACAGAATCAAATTTATTTTAATGGTTGCAAATGGATCTGTACTTGATGAATCAGTATGAGATGTCTACATTTAAGAAACGGAAATGTAAGGATATATGCAAAGCATACTGTGATTCCAGGATCCCTTACCATTATGTCAAACACAGGAGGGTCTGCACATCCCCACTAGGTACAGCTAGAAAAGTAATTCCATCACAGAATAGCATGCTGCCTTCACATATGAAAAGGATGCCATTTGACCATTTCCTTTTAGCGTTTATTCGATTCTAGTCAAGGATGGGCTTTAACTCCTGTATAAATACCGTTTCACACTCTAGGATTTCGCATGACTGTGAACTACAGAAGAAGGCTGTGGAACATCAGATTCAGAAGGAGCTGCCAAGACACCACACCTGTTGCTGCACCTGGTCTACGCAGAGTTTGGCTGGAACCTACTCGGACTGAAGCAAAGCACAGCAACCTGCCTTTCCTCAGAAATGCTGCTCAGAGCGACTCTAGAAAAGTCAGAAGAAATGATTGTGAGTAAAAGGAAACAGGAGAGTAGGTTAGTGGACATAGAATGTCACTGCTGGCAAAGTATAGATGATGTTTGGAATCCTCAAATAACATGAGGGCTATGTGATGGAAGAGAGATGAGGTTTGTTCAATGTGGCAGCAGAGAATTGTTCCTAGATCAGTGAGTAGAGAGCCTTTTAGACTCAGTGAGAGGACGAGCTGTCCCGTCATGCAACAGGCTGTATTGTGAGGCCGTGTGTCCTCCTCTCCTGGAGAAGATCATTAGATTCCTGTGATCAGTGAGGGGCAGGGAGGAATGTAAAGGACCGCAACAAGCCAGGTAACACCTGGGGCAGCCTGGAAAGTGGATGCCCCATCTAGATGGCACAGGTCCAGGTACCGTGTACTAGGTAGGAATGTCAGATATCACCAGATCTTCCAAGATTGTCAAAGAAGCTGGAAATGCAGATTTGCATGTGAAATTTTCTTAAATTTTAAATGTGGGCCGTGATCGTAAATTAATTAAAAAGAAAAATTCTGAGTAATTCAAACAGAACATATCTATGGTCTTAAAGCTACTAGTTCTGAAGCTTTGGCCTTGATAATTCATATATCCAGAACCTGGGAGGACAGGACCGTGGTTTCTCAGCCTCAGTACTAAGATATTTGTAGCTGGAGAATTCTGAGTTGTTGGGGGCAGGGGGAGCTGACCTGTTACTAAACCTTTCTGTGTCTTAGTTTTCTGCCTTGAAAAATATGAAGGATAATGCCCACCTCATATAGTAGTTGTGAAGATTAAATGGCATTTAATATTAGTATAGTACTTAGAGCAGTTTCTGGCACATAGTAGGTGTTAATTGTGCTTCGGTGAAATAAGTAGATAGATAGGTAAATACATAGAGAAATGCTGAATACTTGGAGACACTCTTGGTGAAATTAGTGAACCTAAGTGCATTAAACTCAATATTATTTCTTCTCCAGCTTTCAGTTTAAATTGACCAAATAAATGCAAAATCTGTATACTGCTGTACGTCTCTAGCAGTGTTGAATTCAAAATGATTTTCCTTTTATCAAGTATTATTTTACAAAAATCTGAGGTGCCATTAAGTTGATTAGAGCAAAATATCATTCTTTTCAGTATCACCTCAGATTTAGGTTTCATTACTGTTTATCGGAATACTGGTTTACTTCTTATTTATTGGAGTATTTATTTTTTTCAATTTATTGGCAATTTTCTTTGCAACTCTGCTTACTTTATTAGTTATAAAATATTTTAGAGACACCGAGACATACAGAGAAATAGTAAAACTAAAGCATGATTTTCTTAACTCTCTAGGAGAGTTTTCATACTTTCAGGTCTTCTCTGCCCCAGTTGACGATGGCCTGTATATCTCCCAACATCTAAACTCTGCAAGGAACGTTTGAGTTGGGGCTGTGAAGACTCTAAGGCCATGGAGCGCAACACAAAATGCACATCAGCACGGCCTGTGGAGCTTTTCAAAACTACACAGATGCTCAGGACTCAGTCTGGACCCACTGAATCTGAATCATCTAAGACAAGTCCTAGCTGTAGAGACCAGACATTGACCTTCAGGGTGCTTTCCATCAGAGCTTGTTTGAACTGGGTTTTCCCTCTGAAACAAACATACTAATGATCCCATGAGAATCCATAAATGAATATTTGAACACATTTTTAAGTACTCAATACCTTTAATATCTGTGACATTATGATCTGCACCTTCGCTGTAATTTATTTCACCTTAAATTTTGTCAATAAGCCATGTTATTAAATGAGGAATTCCTTGCATGAATTACTTTCCTCTGTCTACCTCAGTCTCCTCCTCTTTAATCTGGGGATACTAATACAAACCTTTCTTTAGGTGTGATGATTAAGAGAGATTAAATGATGCAAAGTACTTCTGACTAGGTGTGGCATAAGGAGAACTCTCAATAAATTCTTCTTATTGCTATAAAATTCTCTCCACTCTGAATATTATTTGGTTGACATTTTTGAATATGTAGTAGCTGTGGGCCAAGGTGATTTCTGTTGCCCTCAGTTACAGCTATAAAATCTCTAAAATAGTGTTGATAAAGCCAATTATTCTTGGAGGGCATCTGTGATTCTGTTTGGTCTGTTATAGTTTACTCCCTCCTACAGAGTCCTTCTCAGGACAATGATGAAATCCATCTCGGGGGGTGGTGGTGCGAGTGAAATGAATTAAATACGGAAGCTTCCAACCACTCCTGGCACATGGTATGTGCTCAAAAACGTTAGCTATTGTCACCACTACCTCCCCCATTGTCATCAAACCATGACCATCATCCTCATCACCATGGGCTCATACCATCACATTTTGTGGGTGGCACAGTGACCTTGTTATTGTCTGTGCTTAGAAGAAATTATGAAGAGATCTTATTTGGTCTCAGTTCAGTATGGTTGATGTGTGACCTTGCTTTGGTGTCCGTGAGGTTGTTTATGTCCAACAGGAGAACAATATGGTCTCATTTGGAGCACCAGGCCATCTTCTATCCACATCAATGCCTGGTTCATAGCGTCAGGCCAGCTTCTAGACTTCATCGCTGCTTTTCTCTTTCTCACAGTGCTGGAACTGAGTCGTAAAATGATAAATAGGTGTTTGCAGGCAGAAGAAAACAGCATGAGTAAAGGCATGGGGATTGAAGCCAAATGATGTTTTACGGGAGCTTTACATAGCGTAGGGGGGCAAGAGAACATTCTGAAGATGTTGACAGAGAAGAAATCATGGAAGTTCTCAATACAGATCTGAGGAGTGTAGGTGTTGTCCTCAGGGGAACTGACTTGATCTGGGTGTATATATTAAAAATCCACAGCAGTTGTGCAGGAAATGGGTTGTAGACAGAGAGAGTCTGTTCCCTTTTCTCCTTCCCCACCACCACAGCCCTTGCTCAGGTTCTTATCTCTTACCTGACCTCCTTCAACTGGTCCTCACTGATCTACCTGCTTTGAGTCTAGCCCCCACCCCCATGCAAATGTTTATGTTGTAGGCGAGCGATTTTTCAGAATCACAAATGTTATCCTATCTTTTTGTTACCTGAAACCTTTGATTTTTCATCAGGTATAAGGTAAAAATCTACACTGCACTGCATTACATATTACACCTTTTCATAACCTGGTCATACTAACCAGGATGTCTGAACGCCAGCTGTAAATCTGCACTTGAGATGTCAGAATGATCTCAAATTCAGTATTACCAAAACTGCTCAAATCACATTCCCAAGTCCCAGCTCAGTTAACGGTGATGTGGTTCACTCAGTTTACCAGGAAAAAGGTTGACTTCCTTGTAACTGCCCCTTTCACTGAACCTCTTGTACAATCCATCATCCAGTCATGTTACATGAAACCAAAAGGCAATGCCAGTAGTCTCTTTGGGGAGAGAATTTTAGCCTGTGAGTTACTGTTACTCCTGGTGGCACGGCTGGACAGCTGCAAATGCAGCCCCTTGATGCTTTGCTCCATCATTACTGGGCCATTTGAAGAAGGAATACAAATCCTGATTGCTGTTTGCAATATTTTTTTAATCTTACCTTCTTCTAACAATATCTCTTGAACATCTTTCCATGTCTAACCTTCTAGTTCATATTTTAAATGATTGGTTAATAGTTATTGTATAAGGAGGGGATGAATATGCTGTAATTTATGGAGTTAATGTCTAATTACAGGCCTTCAAATTGTGAAACTTTATGCTCCTCCCAACACTGTGTTCTAAATCTTTTTTTGTTTTAACCACTCTGATATGCAATACAGTGAAATGCTTTCTACTCTGGGAGATAAAAACCACATAAGGTCATGTAGATATGAGAACTAGAAAGAGACAAATGTTAGAAACATTAGGAAAGAGGGATCAATGAGAATTAGTGATTGGATAGATTTGTATTATCTACTATCGCATCTCGCTACCCTTTTAGTACTATTGTTTATCATTCTAATCTTGAGATTAATTCCAGATGTCTTGGTCCTGGGCCTGCTGCTCTCTCCAACCACTTTTCCTGTTCTCTTCTGTTTTCTAACTGTTCTCCAGCCACTGCCCCCCACACCCTCCCACCACCCGCCCCATCTTGTGTCTTCTTTCGGATAGTGGAACACTCCAAGTCTGTTCCTACCCGAGAGCGTTTCTATCTGCTGTTCCTCCTGTCTGGAACGCCTTTTGCAAGACTGATTTTCTCTCATTCTCCTGGGTTCATCACGGCCATCCCCTCTTCAGAGAGGCCCTCCCTTTTCACCTTCCTATAGTAGGTCCAATTATCTTCTATACTACTCATATCCTTCATTCATTCATCATCATCTTTTAATTATTTTTGTCTCCTTTCTCTGTCTTGCTCACCACTGTATCCCCATAGCTTAGCACATAGTAGGCCCTCAGTAAATATTGCTTGATGAAATCAATAGTATTAAATTGGCTCCTAATGCAGAGTTTAAAGAACAGAACCTAATTTTTATTATCCAAGAGGGCAGTACTAAGTCTAACAAGGAACAGTTAGAGAGAGGAAAATTGATCAGCTTTTCAACAGTTAGATTTACTTAGGTGTGGAGTGAGTGCTTTCCTTGTGGACGTAGTCAAGCAGGGGCTTGATATGGTTGAAAGGATACTTGCACTGGATGTTGGAATTGGCCAGGTCAATTCTAAGACCCGTTCCAAGTTCCAAACTGTGGGATGAGCGCTTTCATCAGTGCAGTTACTGTTCTGCCCTTCTTGCTTCAAATGCAGATATGGCTTTTACCACTAGACGGTACTTGATGATTCCTTCGATATCAGTGTTTATCAGACTGTCTACTTGCCACCCACAATGAGAAAATACACTTATCACTGCACTTACCCCCACGACATGCACTTGAAACAAAAGTTTCACGAAACCCTCTTAACATACGTGATTCACGCTGGTATTTTCTATTTTACTCTATTTTTTTAAACTGCTGGTTCACAAACTATTAAATTTCATGATAGTAGTAAGTCATAATTCACTTTTTGAAATAAACCCCCAAAAA